ATATAAGGTTTTATTATTAATCTTTATTTAACTAATAAAAAATAATTTCTTTGGTTGAACTATCTAGCTAAATTGTTAGCACAAATATTACAAAATAAATCTGAAAAAGCTGGTAGTTTAACATAAAATGAAGACCAAAGATTATCGTTAAAGAAATGTCAGTCAGAAATTGATTTACGCAAGATGAAGACCAAAGACTATCGTTAAAAAAATATCAGTCGAAAATTAATTCTACGCAAGATAAAGATCAAAATTATTATTAAAGAAACACCAATTAGAAATTAAAAAGCCAGGATTACCTAAATCGAAAAAATTTGAAGCTGTAACTGATTTTACGCAAGATGAAGATCAAGGGATATTGGAAGAACTAACTGATTTTGCGCAAGATGAAGATCAAAGATTATTATTAAGGGATGCCAATTATCAATTGAAGAATGCAAAGTAAAACTTGAGCACGAAAGAATAGAACTAATGAAATTAAAAAAGAGCTTAATATAGACTAATCATTAGAAATATAAATTAGTTATTAAATCAGTAGCAGAAATTTTATGATTCTTAAAGTAGTTTGCGAACTATCTTTGCTCTAACAATGTAAATAAAAGAAAGCTTGCATAGTATTGCACATTTCAGGTTATTTGTTCACATGATCCAACTTTAAAATTTACATTTGTTCAGAGATTTCTTTAGGTATCAGGACTTGATTTTTTGGTAAATATTAAAAAATCAGACACTATATTTTATTTACAATTAACAAGAGACATCATTAAACATGATGTTGAGCCAAGTTTGCTTGATGTCATGTGGTAAATATGAAGACTCAATTATTGTGCATAAAAAATTTTATTGATACACGCAAAAAATAAATACAGTATAATGGTTCAGAATGCAAGCCCGTTTTATGCAGACTATAATGCATAATTATTTTTTCAAATGATAACCCTCTATCCTAGTCCTCTTCTCTTTTAGCTCATCATTTATGCATGCCCTATTCTTTAATTATGTCAAGAATCTTTTTTACATACTTTTGTATTTTTCTTCAATACTAAAGGCGTAGTATATGTTATGCTGAACATCATTGATAATTAGCCAGTAGATCCTATACTTCTATTGGTTAGAAGTGAGAAGAGTCTTCATGAATATTATATGACATAACATGTATTATGAGTTAAAACTCCCGTAATAATAACCGATCACAAATAAAAAAGAGAAAATTAATTTTTTGCTAATCGCTTATATTGCATATAACATAGTAGATAATAATTTCGTATATCACATTATTAGCTGTAGATCTTGCTTCTATTAGTTGCAAATGAGAAGAATCTTCACGATTATCATATAATACAGTATGCTACCATATTTTCTTATCCGGTTTATCAATTCAACCCTTACTATGGTACTGTAATTATAAATAGGCTATCATAGATTTTTTTTACCTTAATGATGTTCTAGGAATCGATCGTATTACTTCTAATGAGTTTAGGTTATAGAGTGACTTCTCATCTTTTCTCTGAACCTCTCCAGAGAGTTAAACCTTGTTTGGCTTGCAAAAGGGAAATTATAAACTCACATGTGATGTTCCAATGTGATCATACTTTTCACATTAGTTGTTGCAATGCATCTTCAGTCTGCAAAGAACAATATCCAGAGTATTAAAGCAATGTTATTGAACAGCCTGAATAACTTAGTTGGAAAAATATGAGTAGAGAAGAAAGATTGTTAGCTTTTATATATGAAGTATCAACTGAAGTGATGGAAATTGATAGCAATTCATCAGAAGTAATCTCTCAGGACCAGCCCTCAATGATTCTATGAAAATTATCTTAAAGAGTTGGCAAGGTTGATTCTAATACCATCTATTGCTATTACGAATTTGACTTAATACTAATCTTTCATCTCAATTAATTAATAGGAAAAAGGCAAAAGAGGGTATAACATACATTTAATATAAAGGTTCAAAGATATTTATCAGCTGGTATTTCTTTAGCCATAGCAAAGGATAAAATTAAAAAGGTTAGAAAAATGGTTAAAATTTTTAGTGATGATCTATCTAGAATTCAATTTGTTTATTCATTTTCTGTAGATCAGCTCTCAACTTTTAATGAAGATAATATCAACTTTATAAAATTAAAATTACCAAAGCCTGAGACGTCATGAATATGCAAAACACCTTAAGTGTTTTATTATGTCTTTTTTATGTCCTTTTATATCTTTATATCTTTATATTGTATGTACAATGATATATTATACTTCCCTTCAATAGAAACACTTAGTATGTGGATTTTATATTTATACTAGATGAATTTGTAGATATGTCATTAATTCTTCTCTTCAGTAGTCATTTTTAGTCTGTGTGATCTTTTTTTCTCATAATTGATAAGTAGAAACATAATAGATAAATTTGTAATGAATGGAGGGATAACAAATCTTATATGTCAAACTCTCATTATGTCTGAATATTCAAGCATTTAGCTTTTTTTCGGCTGGCCAGCCAATTTACAATCAAAGTATTTTTCATTTTTTAGTGGTATCTTTTAATCAATGAATCTACTGTAGCGTGATAAAATAAAGTTTTATTTGGTTACTAATTGCATACATATATGCTAACATAGTATTATTTACAGAAATATAGTTATGAAAAATAATAGCTAAGTTTGTGTTAGTAATAGTGCTTTCATGTTATATTAATGATTAATTAGGTGACTTAGTCTAGCAATGCTAATTGTTATATAACATCATCTGGAGCTGATTATCTCATAATTTGAGTTACGAGAAGGTTGCGAGAAAGTGTCAGAAACTGTCTAAAAGGTAGGTGATACAAATTTTTATATTATACAACATTTAAAGCTAATCTTTGTTAATCACGAGAGTTTCACAAATCGCATGTAAATATAAAATTAGTTTAGCCTGAGATATGATCCTATATAAATCCTAATATGCTTGTAATCGAATAAAAATGAATCTGATATTTATTATAATATAGTTGTTATAAACTTTTATAAATCACTATAAATTGATAAAAAACAGTGAAATTGCTAAAATCACTAAAAACACTATAAAATTGTTATAATCTGTTATAATCTACTAAAATACTATTATGGATTTAGATAGTAGAGCCTAATATAAGCTAATTCTATAGGCTATAGTGATGTAAACTTTGAAGAATATAGAAGAATATTAGAAGCATTATGTTTTTTAAGTAAATGATATTATCATGAAATACCAGAAATGTGATGCTCTCGTATCCATGATCTATTTAGAAAAATACTTAAAGAGAATCCAAGAATCCTTTCTAAAAATAGATATATTATAATGTGTGAAAAGCTTTATGAAAATGATAAAGTTCATGGTCATCTAACAAATTATACATATTGTAGTATATGTGACTTCTTGATTTTCATACCTGCAACTTTATAGCGAATATTGCTATTATGATAGTTACTTAAAAAGATATATTTCTAGAAATACTCTTTCAAATGAATATGCAAGAAGAAATGAAATTTTCCAATCTATTAATAGTAAGGAATTTCAAATCTAGCAATATAACAATACATATTACAAGAAGAAGCTAAAATTAATCGTTTCCATCTAGAACTTTTCTTCTAATTTACCTCACACTCAGAAAAGGACCACTCTCCCAATGATACAAACTATTATGATGATAATGTTGAGGACCTTGGTATTCGAATGTAAGACGCAATTCCTTATTATACCTATCGATATGCATCCCATCCAAAAAATTAGTCGTACATAGTGAAAATTTCTTACCTAGCAGATCCTCAAAATGTAACGTATATTTCTTTCAGTAGTGTGGTAGCATAGAAGGCACCATTCAAATTTTTTCATTATGTATTTTATGGATACTCCCATTGATATGCATCATTTTCATAGGATCAAAGATAAATATTATAATCATTTACTCGTCCAGTTCTTCTTAGGCATTAGTCATCACATTTTTCAGTATATTGATAAGCTTCAGTTAAATTATCATTAGCAATTGAATATAATAGACGAACCCAGTAGGATGATATTTTCACATAAATCCATCAGATAGATACTTGATTTTATCAGATTCCTAAATCACTTAGAGCTTCTTATATTTAAAGGATCGTTTGGGATTCCATCTCATCAAATAAGTAGTTGATTCAATGGGCTCATCTTCAAGATAATATAAGACTGGTTATGATGGATTCCTTTCAATAACAATTTTTTAATCTTGTAAATACGTAACGACCAGTATAGATTACCGTAGAGCACTGATTATACTACCTCCCTGTGTAAACTACCCCCAAGGTTTTAGGCTATAATTTTGTAAAAACCCCAGGTAGTACACATGGGTGATTTTTTTTTTAGCTGAATTTAATAAATTATCAATAAAAATATATATCAAATAAGTTAAAAGCAAATTATCTTTATTCAAAATTATAATTTTATACAAAATAAACGAAATTAAGTGAAATTAAAGATTATTTCAATTATTATATTCGATTTTGTCATTATCATTATTTTCTTCATCATTTTCATCTGATAACTCATTTTCTTTATCTTCATCCACTATAAGATCATCATAATCAAAAATCATATCATTTTCTGAATCATCAGTTTTAACTGAAATTCCACAACATTTAAATGATTTATGAATCAAATTTGAATCAACCTTCTCCTATGCATCTTTTACTTATAAAGATACCAAAGAATATGATGGTTTTTTGATATGTCCAGCTGGAGTTAGATCATGAACTTCATTTGTTATCCAATCATTATAAAGTTTACGAACCTATATATTAAAAAAAAGAAAATTTTAATTTTTTTAATTCATATTGTAATAAATATAACAGTAAATTAATAACTGATATTTACATTAGATTTAAAGTTTTTATTAACTGCTACATCAAGAGATTGCAATCTAGATGTTAATCCATCAGGAATTACTGCAATATTAGTATGAACTTTATCCAATTTTTGTTTAACAGAATCAACTAAATGACTACAAAAAGAATCTAAAACAAGAAGATATCTAGGATTTAATAATTGATCATGAGTTCTTTTAGGCCAAATATTATTAATCCACCAAATCATTTCTTCTTTATTGACCTATCCTTTTGCATTAGTTCTAATAAATATATCATTAGGAAAATCTTCTCGAGGTTATTTTTCAATTTAAAAATAATAACAGGAGGTAGTTTTGACCCATCAGCCATACAACCTAACATAACTGTAAACATACTTCTTTCATGTCCTGTAACTTTAATACTAATAGTATTAGAATCACGCTTTTCTAAAGTATAAGAATTAGGTAAGTCAAAAGCAACAGGAGTTTCATTCATATTTGTAATACATTGAAGTGGATAATCATATTGTATTCTTCTATAAAGAACAAAACTTAAGAAATTCTGTTGTTTTTCAAGCAAATCCTCTGATAAATGTTGAGATACTGTTGTTCTTCGCCTATTTGAAAAATTATGACAGACCATAAAGTAATCCATCCATTTTTGTGAAAATTTGAATGAAGAAATTGTAGGATACTTTTCTTGATATGTTTCAGTTTGTGAAAGCTCTTTGGCTTTTTTTGTTACCATGTTTCTAATGATTGGTAAACTTTATACACGACAACTAGTGATCTATTCTACTAATTCTTATTCTAATCCTGGAAAAAAGGTTGTCTGCCAGCATATAATTTTAATAAATAAGGTGCTGAAGACTTTAGTTAGTCTTTTTTTTTCTCTAATTATCAGTGTTGGCAAATTTCAAAGTCATTTCCCTTTTTTTGAAATGATTTAGGTCACTTTGTATATGATCACGTGATAGATTTCATAGTAAAATCATCACATGATTAGGTTATTTTAAGGTCACTTCAAGGTTATTTGCCAACACTGCCAATCACGAACTTGACTTAGTTCCAAACCAAAATATTTTGCCATTGCACGAATACTATTTGAACATTGTAAATAATGCAAAACTATTAACTTCTCACATATGCATTACTGTCATCTTTTTTTTAAAGTAACTCTAGAAAATTTAGACTTTTGGTTTCCTTTAACGACCATTTTTTTAAAAAAAAAATTGTGAAACATGATACAGTAAAACGTGATAAAAAATACGTGAAAAATTTAATGGTATTTATAATATACAGTATATTATATATATTGATCTACATATTATATATACAGTCAACCCTCTCTAAATGCATCCCCTCAGGACCATAGTGAAAATTTTAAAAAATGTGCATTTAAAGAGGG